TGTGGATGGAACTGCGATTCCGTTTTAAGGGCAAGTTAACAGCATCCTCCTGAGCTCTAGGAATTTTACAGCTGGTTTTTCTCCAGCTATAGTTGGGCAGCAGTACAGTCACAGCACTGCTTCAGATACTGTTTAGTCCTGTCAGCCCTCCAGTGATGGGGTTGGCTCAGAACAGCTGTGTATGGATTTTTATCTCATTCAGGGTTGCCTGAGCTCAGGTAATTGAGGCCACTTGGCACCAGTTTGAGCAACTTGGGTGGGGGCAGTTTGGGTTGGTGTGTTGTTACAACTTACAAAGGGTTCAGAGCACTTGAGTATTTTTATGTAAGTGGCAAATTTGGAGAGGTTTTGTGAAGTCCTTTCAAAGCTCAAGACTTACCTCCTAAGTCCTGTGAGGCTCCCAGCAGACCACAGTGCCAGAAACCATAGTGTCCTAGAATCTCCTGGGTTGGAAGGGACCCACAAGGATCATTGAGTCCAGCTCGTGGCCCTGCACAGAAAGAACCCCAAGAATCTCACCAAGTGTCTGGGTGCATTGTCGAAACACTTGTGAACTCTGGCAGAGTTCAGGTGACCTCAGCCACCACCAACAGTGATGTATCCTGCTTTGTCAACACAGTTGATAAAATCGTGGGAGTCACAACAGCTGAGATGGGACACGGCTGGTTTCTGCCCTTGCAGCCTGCTCTGTTTTGTTACTACTTTGTCTGCGGTGGATCCCACAGAGGGGACAGTCCAGCTTAAGTCATTTGTCACCTCTGGTGTCTGTTGATTTTACTTGAGGTCCTGAAGAACTGAAGGATTTAAGAAAAACCTTCAGGCTTGGCATAAGGCCTAGACACACATGTGTGCATTGTACAAAGCAAAGTGAAGCTGGAGCCTGCCGTGGCCACTGGTTGGGTGTTTCTGTAGGATGTGCAGCTCTTTTCCCAGTGCAGGGCTGCGAACTGGAGTTCACCCTGGCTTTGTAACACGGATGGCATTTACCACGTGGGTTAATAGGGGGAGAGGGAAGAGTCCTCTGCAAGGCAAAAGTGATGGACTTTAACTGCTCTAAAAAATCAGGGAAGATCTGCCTGTCTTTGGGTTACCTTGTCATGTTTGGCACATTCTGTGACCTGGGCACAAGGAAATATTGCCAAAGCCTCTGCTTTGAGCAGGATGCAGCAGCTGGAGACAAAGATGTTTGCAGTAGTTTTTCTTTCTGTAGTTTCTCTGCGCATCTGATGGACCAGATTTTGCAGAATTTTCAGTATAAAATTGTCCATTATAGCATTTTTCAAAGGGAGGGAGCTGGCTAAAATCCTCCTCTGGCTAAGTGCTCCTTCCCTGAATGTGCTAATGGCACTTCAGCAGTCACAGTCACTCCACTTGGATGCTGATGTGGAACTTGGGTGTCTCTCTGCGTTCTTGATTCCATAGTTTCTGTCAGTGTAGCTGGCTCTGCATCCCTGTGCCAGGATGGAGGGGTGGTGTGCTCAGTCCCACATGCAGCCGAGAGGGCAGATGTAATACCTGAAAGCATTTGTCTTCTCTTTAAATGTCACTTTTAACTGGGTGTCATCTGCAAAATGACAGTTTTCCTCCTCTCTCTATGTGTTGGGTGCCGCTCTCTCCATCTGGCTGGCTGTGTGTTGACGGGGGCAGTGTACAAAATGCAGAGCATTTGCTGGCAGAAATGCAAACTGTAGAGATGTAAAATAGTCCCTGACTTCAAAGCTGGAATAGAGACAGCAGAAAATGAAGCTGAAGCCCTCAAAGCTGTGCTTGTCATTGTTAATGACATGCTCAGTTACAGACACTTGCTGAGGTGGAATTCAGAAATAAGGCCTTGGGTTTCACTCTTGCCTAACAGGTGGGCATTATTTGGGGGTTTAAATAGCACATGTTATGGAATGGTTTTTGGGGTTGGTAAGGAGTGTTTGTTCAGTGATAAGAGCTGAAATCTGGAAGGTTAACAGTTGCCTTTGCTTAATGTAATATTTTTCCCCCTGTGATTCTGACTTACATTACAAGACAATGAAGTTTTTCAGGAGGTGGATACTGTGTTGCATTTTGTAGCTTTTCATAGATTCCTGGAATATCCTGAGCTGGAAGGGACCCACAAGAATCCCAAGTCCAACCCCTGGCCCTGCCCAGACCCCCCAACAAGCCCACCCTGAGCATCCCTGAGAGCGCTGTCCAAACGCTCCTGGAGCTCTGGCAGCCTTGGGGCCGGGCCCATTCCCTGGGGAGCCTGGGCAGTGCCAGCAGCCTCGGGGGGAAGAACCGTGCCCTGAGATCCATCCCAAGCCCTGGCACAGCTCCAGCCCTTCCTGGGCTCCTGTCCCTGTCCCAGAGCAGAGCTCAGCCCCTGCCCCTCCGCCTCCCCTCGGGAGGAGCTGCAGCCCCCGAGGAGCCTCCCCTCAGTCTCCTCTGCTCCAGCTGAACGAGCCAAGTGCCCTCAGCTGCTCCTCAGAGCCTTCCCCAGCTCCGTGTCCCTCCTCTGGACACTCTCCAACAGCTTTGGATCCTCCTGATCTTGTGGTGCCCAAACTGCCTCCAAAACACAAGGTGAGGCTGCAGCCTTGTACTGATTGATATGCATATGGATTTTTTTATTTCCAAGATACTTCTTCTCAACCCAGCATCTCTTCAGGCTTAAATTAATTTTGATGGTAGAGAACTGCTGACAGTCTTTCTCCTCTGTAGTCTTAGAGGGTTGGATGTTTGTTTTCATTTCAGTAGTGGGCAGGAGTCACTGGTGGATTAACTATCTGGGACACTCTTGAGCAAGTGGCTTCTGGACTGATAATGCCAGAAAATGCTTATTTAAAAAATTAGAAACACGGCAATTTGGGAGGAACTTGGTTTAATGTGTGCAGGCCCTGGTTTTGTATGGATGGGATGGCAATGAGCAGGCTTCCACAGAGGATGAGATTTAAGGTTTATAACAATCTCAGATACTGTGGCTCTCTGAACTCCCAGGTTTTAAAACAGAAAGATTGGATTTATTTTTAATCTTTTCTAAGCTGAAAACTGGGAGTGCAAGGAGGCTGGAAGTGCTCAGCATGAAGAGCAAACTGCGACCTAGAGAAACAAGGTGGGTTTTTACAGCAGCTGAAGAAAGGAAATTTAAATGCAAGTTTTTCTGCAAAGTAGGGTAAAAACTTAATCTGTAAGGGTGAGGTGGGGTGAAAAATTACTTGATTCAAAACCTGTGGGAGGAAGGGATGTGTCTGAATGGCAGCTGCTCATCTAAAGGAAAAAGGAATGTGTTGCAGGCAGAAGTAGCAAGTGCTGCCTGGTACTTCATGTTTTCTATTAGAGCTCCTGTTTTTGATTTGACAAGAAAACAATCTCCAAACCTCCTTTGCCTTATGACTCGCCTTCAAGTGTTGGCAAAACTATTGCACCCATTTTGGTGAAGAGGAAGCCAAGAAGCCCATCCAAAACTGCAGAGCTTGGTCAGGCCCATCCTTAAAAGGTGCTGCAGTCCCTGCAGGATGGTTCTGCTTCATCACACCTGCCTTCTCCTCTTCCCACAGACAGCCTTCAGCTCTTGCCTGCTCTGAGCCTTCCAACTGCCCTTCTGCTGCACTTTGTGGAAAAACTCCCCTGCTCAAACCTGCTTGCTTTCCTTGGTGTGGCTGGGGAGCCCCCTGCTTGTTGAGGACAGAGCTGTAGGCTGAAGCCATCTGGTTTGAAAGGAGGCTACTGGATTGGGAGCCAGGAAATGTAGACCTTAACCCATGAGGCTGTCCATGTCAGACTGTGGTATCCTTTATTCCCCACTGAGAATTGTTGTGTAAGTGTTGGCCAGCATCACCACACACTTCTGTCTCTTCCTGCCTCCCTGCAACCACCACCACAGACCAGAAAGCTGGTGGTTGGGAGGAGAAGCCTGAGGACACAGCTGGGTTGTCCTCCTGGAGATGCTTTTCTGAGGGAATATTTGATGTCAGTGTGCCTGGCTGTGGCTTCTGTTTCTCTCCAAACAGAGGAGCAGATTGTGCTGTTCCTCCTCTCTTTTGCAGGTCAGTGGTAGTGTGTGTGTTTGGCTGATCCAAACGTATAGTGTACTGGTTCAGGGGAATGAATTCACTTCTTGTTTTATTGAAGTCTTAGCAAACAGTGTTAAAGAACTCATCAGGTTCTTCTGTGTAGTTCAGAAATGCTAAAGTGAAGTTCACTCCATACTGCTGGCTTGAGTTGTGTGGCCAGCAGGACCAGAGCAGTGCCTGTCCCCCTGTGCTGGGCACTGCTGAGGCCTCACCGCGAATCCTGGGGTTGGTTTTGGGCCCCTCACAAGAAAGACATTGAGGGACTGGAGCGTGTCCAGAGAAGGGAACAGAGCTGGGAAAGGGACTGGAGCACCAGAAGCAACTGGGGGTGCTGGAGGCACTCAGCCTGGAGAAAAGGAGGCTCAGGGGGCCCTTCTGGCTCTGCACAAGTCCCTGGCAGGAGGGGATGGCAGGGGGGGTCGGGCTCTGCTCCCAGGGAACAGGGACAGGAGGAGAGGAACTGGCCTCAAGGTGGCCTGTGGGAGGTTCAGGTTGGACACTGGGAAAATTTCCTCACTGAAATAGTGGTCAGGCCTTGAAACAGGCTACCCAGGATAGTGGTGGTGATGATATCCCTGGAAGTGTTCAATAAACAAGTAGAAATTGCACTTTGCTGTATGGTTTACTGGGCATGATGAGCTTCAGTCAGACAGATGCTGAGTAAAACTCTGAGAAGGACACAAGTTGTTCATAGTTCAGGGCTCTGTTTGAGAACCTCAGAGACCAGAAGTTGTTCCCAGTTGAATCTGGAGCTTACAAAGTGATTTCAGTGCACATTTATGAGCCATGTAGGCAGCCAGCCTGGGCTTTTCCTGAGGTGGTCACTTGTGTTTAGAGCCCCAATATTCTTAACTGTAGTTCTCTCTGTTTAAAGCATGCCTTTCCTCCACACCCTCACTGGAGAAGAGCTGCTCTGAAGCTCACAGCCCAAGTTCTGGAGGCTCTGGAAAGCCGTGAAAAGAGCTGACCCAGATGGCTGGGGTTCAACTCCAAGGTAACTTGTTGTCTTTCACCTATTAAGAGTCTTCTATCAGACACATCCTAGAAACCACAACATCACTTCAGAGAGGCCTTGACCACTCCTCTGTCCTGTGCAAGTGCAGGAGTACCAAGGGTGAGGCACATCTTGTGCCCTGTGCAAGCTCAGCCCTAACTGGTGCTGCTCCCAGAGGGGTTTGTGGCTGCACTGGGTACAAGTGTGTACTCGGCCTCGGGGAAAACAGTGCCAGCAATCTGCAGGGTCCTCAGCACCTGGGGATCTGCAGGAGTTTAGAAGAACAAGCTCAGCAACAGCCTCAGTTCTGCCTGAGCAGCACCTTGGGAACCTGAGTGCTCTTTTGGATTTTGCTCTTTCTTCTACTGCATCTTTGTTTGGGCACATACCTGTGCAGAGTGTGGAGACCTGGTTCCCAAATGAGTAAATAAATGGGCATTGCTGCACTTGGTTAAATAGAAGTAATAAATTCCTGGCTCAGCCCCATAAGTGCAAGTCCTCTAAGCCAGGCTGCAGAAGCTGCTTTTCTGGCTTAGCCTTGAGGAGACTGCAGGTCTGTGCCAGAACCAGCCTGTCCTTCAGCTCGTGGCTGCCTGCACTGTAGGAGGCTGTCCCTGATCGCTGGTGTAATGCAACTGAGGTGTCCCTGTAGCCCAGCATGGGCAGCAGGTTATCTCTTCATGCCCTCTTTGGGTGTCTCACCTGCTTGAATTTCCTAGTAAGAGCTCTAGAAGTATTTTTTGAAATGTTTTTTAGGTACCTTCTTTTCAGCTGCTAGCTGAGTCACTAGCTGCCATGCTACAGCCAGGATCCCAGGAAGAGGAGAGACTTCTTGCTGAAACTTTGAGTTACCATTTTTGGCAGCACACTCCATCTTTGAAACTTGTCCTGCTGTGGCATGTTTTCTTCCATCTGTTCAGGTGCCTTTCCGAGAGCAGAGCAGGAGGACCCGACCAAAACACTTGAGTCACAGAGAGCAGAAGGCCTTAGCTAGGCCAGTGAGAAAAGAGCATGGTAATGAGCAATAAATTTATTCTTAACCTCCGATTTCCCACACCTTGTGTCAGTAGCTTTTGCCCTGGAGATCATTCCTGAGTATGACAGCACAGGGGCCTGTTTGTCCAGAGCTGCTGCAGCTCTGGGGGATGTTTGCTCACAGAGCCCCATTTGGGGCAAAGACTAGAGGCTCAGGACCCCTCCTGGGTACAAGCCCCCTCAGCCTGGGGAAGAGAGGAGATGTGGACATGTCCAGGGAAGGGATGGATCATGGAATCACAGAATAGTTTGGGTTGGAAGGGACCTTAATGCTCATCTTGTTCCACTGCCTTCCATGGGCAGGGACACCTTCCACTAGATCAGGTTGCTCCAAGCCCCATCCAGTCTGAGCTTGAACACTGCCAGGGCTGGGACAGCCACAGCTCCTGTGGACAACCTGTGCCAGGGCCTCACCACCCTCACAATCAAGAATTTAGTCCCAGTATCCCATCTACCCCTGCCTTCTGGCAGTGGGAAGCCATTCCCCTTTATCCTGTCCTTCTAAGCCTTTGTCCAAAGTTTCTCTCTGGCTCTCTTGGAGCCCTTTTAGGCACTGGATGGGGCTCTGAGGTCTCTCTGGAGCCCAGGTGAACAGCATTTGGCTTCTGAGCAGAGGGCCTCTGTGGCCTCCTCTGAACTTGCTCCAGTAGCTCCATATCCTGTTGATGTTGGACCCCAGACCTGGAGGCAGCTCTGCAGGTGGAATCTCACCTGAGTGGGGTGGAGGGGCAGAATCCCTTTCCTCAACATACTGGTCACAATTCTTTTGATGCAGCCCAGGATCCATCTGGATCTACCTGGAGGAAAGAATTTGCAGTAGCTGGGATGGACTAAGCAGAGTCTGCTTCTGAAGAGCTGGCCAGTAGTCACTTGGTTGTTCTGTGGGGTCTGGATGGGTGGTGCAGGAGAGGCACAGGCAGCAAGGGTGGTGAGGTACTGCCAGGGAGGCACAGGACATGCTGATGGGAAGCAGTAGGGTTGGAAGAGTAAGTTTTGATTGAGGCCAAGAAACCAGCTCAGATGAGCCGTTTCTGCATCATGGAGAGCTTGGGTTTCTCCTTTTTAGTAAATCATAGAATCATGGAACCATTGAGGCTGGAAAAGACCTGCAAGATTGTCAAGTGAAACCTTTGGTTTCTCTAACAAGGATGTGTCACAGCTCTGCTTTTCTGAGCATGTTTTCTTAACTGTATTTTCATTGGGACCTGGTCAGCTTGAAAACCATGTCTGAGTTGTGCAGAGGATGTGCTCTTTGAGGTCTGCATCACACTCTATCAAACTCGCACTCTAAAAACTGGAAATGCAACCTAATGCTTTTGCCTGGACATCTGTTTTTGAGACAGGTAGGAGTTAGAGATTCCTGCCTCTTTTCCCATCCAGGCCTTATCCTCAGTGTTGGGGTGCAGAGCTCTATATTGCAGTGTTGTCAGCAGCACCTGTGGCAACCTGGAAGTGTTTGGTGAAGGAGTTTGTTGGCTGCTCCCATCAGGCTGGGTACAAGGACTTTATCTCCAGTGACGTGTGTTGTACGTAACCTTGTTCTGAAATCCCCTTTCAAGTCTGCGGTGCTTGAGCACCCTCAGAAAATCTCTGTCAGGTGACATTAGCCAGAGTGGAATTAAATCTTACAGGATTTAGCCAAGCAGCTTTTGCTACAGAGTAAATCAGGAAATGCCCCACTAGGTAAAAATCCAGGTGCATCTTTGGGATGTCTTGTGAAGGGTGGCCCACAGACAGAACAGCTGTTTTCCCTTTGGAGACTGCTGTTGGTTGTGATGCTGGGATCCCAGGTGTTCAAAGCATTGCTGACTGTGGTGACATCTCTATGGCCTGGTCTTGTGATAGGTGGTTATTGGGAAACTTAAAGTAGTTTTCCTTACCTTCTTTGGCTGTAGTAACTGGACTTCCACATGTTTTTGAGAATGTCAGAAGATGGTGGATATCTTTTGTGGGTTGCATTCTTGTATTCTCAGACTAAATTAGAATAGTTCCTGCTGGTGAATGAGCGAGGGGGCCAGTCTCTTGTTTGAGGAAAACACTTTTGAATAGTGGAAGTTACTAATTATCTGGCTGATCCTTCCTGGAGGGAGACAGGGCTGAGGAATAAAGTCAGGGGAATAGTTTGTCACCATCTCTGCAGTCTGCATCCAACCCTCTTGGTATCTGCTGTGCTGCTGCTCCTGCAAGCAGCTGGAATGATTCCTTTGCATTGCCAGTGCTCCCCCTCAGGACAGGCTGAGATCCTTTGCAGGATACCCAGAGAAGGAATATTGGAAAGGGAGCCAAGCTGATGTGTAAAGGCATCCTCCTGCTGTAGTTAAAGGGGGCTTGTCCTCTCAATAACAATAGCCTGTGCTATTTATCAGCAGAAGAAATTTTGGGATTGATCACAGTGAATATAGCCTTTTTCCAGCTAGCAGTCCCCTCTCCTTTGCTTGGCACCTGCCTTGCAGGTATCGTCACAGAGCCAGTGAGTTCCAAAAGGAGCTTGGCTGGTGAAGAGGCTCCAGCAGCACTAATCCCTACCTGGCTGGGAGGTGCTATGGGCTGACTCTAAGCCCCAAGCAGCCAAAGCCCTCAGCTGTGCCACAGTGGAAATCCTGGGTATCTGGGGCAGAACAACTGTTCTGCCTGTGGCAGGCAGGGTGTAACCTCAGATTAGTCAGGTCAAACTTCTCCCTCTTTATTAGTGGCGCTGGGAGAACAGCATATTGGAGGATGGAGGTGAGCCTCCTTCCCTGCACATAGGTAGGACATGTTAAAGGTCCTGGATCCTACTTCTCAGCAGGAGTCTGCAAGCAGGGGGATGGGGATTCTTGGAAAATAAACAAGGAAAGTTAATTCCTTCACTGTCTTGTGCTTCTCTGACCTGGGTTTGAGAAGTGGCTCTTGAGGACCTTGTGGCAGCTGGAAACTCCATCTTGAACACACAGAATAGAGTTCCAGGGGCTGGGTGGGGTCATGTGCTACATCCAAGTCCTCAGTGGTTTTGCAACACAACTAGAAGGGCAGCAGGAGATTCTGTGTCCTCTTGCTGCCAAACCCCAGCTCTGGGCAGGCAGGAGGTGCTTGAGTGAGCAGAGTTGGTGGGTTGGAACCTGCTAGTAGGGGATTTGAAGCTTATCCTACCCTTGAACAAAAGTAAGGGTAGCTGAATGTTGCTCTCTCTTCTGGATGATTGTGAGGAATGTGGCTTCAGAGTCCTTCACCCTTTTATGGTCCTGCTCTAAATTGGCATTGTGGTTTTAGTTTGGCACCTCTGTGCCTGAGTGTCCTCACAGGCACAGAACTGGCTCAGTCCTGCAGAGGTGACATCTCCTGCTCCATGTTTGCTGTCTCTAATCCTGGTCGAGCTTTGTTGGGAGTGCTGGTAGGCAGATTGGACTTGCAGGCTGTAATAAACACAGAAGCCAGAAACTGGGAAGAGGCCGGGGTTTCCAGCAGCACTGCTGGGTGCCTGACCTTGGGAGCCTCCTCTCGCCTTCCTGCCCCCACTGCCCGCGAAGGACATGCTGGGGAGCATGTGTTCTTCCACTCCACAATCCCCCTGTGAGCAGCATGTGGAAGGGAGCAGGAACACGGTGTTCAGATAAGGCTGCACCTTTCCCATGGAGCAGATGTTTGCCTGAACATCCCACTGGATTGCATAATTACTGAGCCAAGTGGCTGCAGCCTGTTCTGCTGCTGGGTGGCAGCTATTGTGCGCTGCTTTTGATGAGATTTTTGTTCTGCTTTTTGTCACTATGTCACACGCTTTGGGCTCAGCACTCCAAAATTCTCCTTTTTCTACATGCAGCTGATCCAAAACAAGAAAACAAATCAGTTCTTTTTGAATTTCATTTCCCTGATCTTGTCCTGTTCGTTCCTCACTGTAATTGGGCTTTGGCGCTGTAAGTGCTTTTCTGGGGAGTTGTTAAGGAAATGTTCCAGCGTGATGTCCTGGCTCAGCTCCCCGAGGAGAGCTG